TCCGGTGACTTCATTAAGCAGTCAAATAATGAGGAATTGGTTGACCGCAAACATTTTTGTACTCCCAATGCCATCGTGGACGCAGGAACGGACCTAGCCGATTGGTTCAAAATCAATGCGCTAGATGTGATCCTTAATAAACTTGGCGAATTTGCCGAGAAGAATAGCGGGTGGGCCTTGAGCGAAATAATTTCTCTGCAGGTTGCCATAAATAAATATGAAATGGGCAATGGCTCATCGTTTATCAAATTACCAGAGCAGATTGAGAGAAAGCATGCTTGTATCAATGTCCAAAATGATGATGAGGCATGCTTCTATTGGAGCATAGTCAGTTGTTTGCACCCTATTAAAGAAAGTTCGAAAAGAGTTAATAATTATCCTCACTATTCACAAGTTTTGAACATCAAAGGATTAGACATACCAATGAAACTGCCCCATATCACGAAATTTTAAAAAATGAATGCTATTTCGGTGAATGTTTATGCGCTAGAGTTGACAGAAGTCAACTTACGAACATTTTACTCTGTAGTACTCACCAGACTGACTAAGCATAAACGTAATCGACACGTTAATTTGCTATTAATTCAAGACAAATATTTCCCAAAATTGAATGACTATGAAGCTCCTTCCGATAATGATAGTGTTGAGGAAAACGTTAACGTAAAATATCACTATGTCTGGATTAAGGACCTTTCACGACTAGTATCAAGTCAACTCAACAAATATAAGGGTAAGAAATTCATCTGCGATCGGTGCCTCAACTATTACCATCGTCAGGAGAAGCTTGATAGTCATGCTGCTCTATGTGAGAAAATTAATAATGAGAAAATTTCATTCCCCAAGTATGATTTTGTAGAATTTAAGAACCATGTGTATAAGCAGACATGTCCTTTCATCATTTATGCTGATTTCGAATCGCAGTTGGGGAAATGTAATTCCAAAATTTCAAAAACCACTTCAAAGTATCAACATCATAAAGCATAAAGTGCAGGGTACTATTTCAAATGTTCTTTCGATGACTCGCTGTCATTTTATCGTAGTCATAGGGAGGAGATTGCATGGACTGGTTTGCCTGCGAAATGTCTAAAATTGCCAAATTTGTCGAATCCAAATTGAAAAATATCGTTCCAATAGTAGTTAAACCAGCTAGTACCAGTGGCGCAACCATCTGCCACATTTGCGAAGAGGAATTCAAGGCAAAAGACGTTATCGTACGTGACCACGACCATTTTACTGGCGCATTCAGAGGCTTCGCACACCAGGCTCCCTGTAATCTCAACTTTAGGAAACTGTTCGTTGTTCCCATTACGTTCCACAACCTCTCAGGATATGATTCGCATTTCATGATCAGAGACATTTCCAAGCAGGGACGTGTGAGCGTACTCCCGGTTAATCGCGAAAAATACATTTCCTTTACACAACATGATGATGAAACAAGCATAAAATTCCGATTCATCGACTCTTTCTGCTTTTTGGGAACCAGTCTCGATGCATTAGTGTCAACGTTAAAAATTAATGATTTGAAAATTCTAAAGAAGGAATTCACTGACGTAAATGAGACGAAATTTGCATCGTTGACACGAAAAGGAGTATTTCCATATGACTATGTCGATAATGTGGAAAGATTGGATGAATCCGAGTTGCCCAGCATTCAAAATTTCTATAACAAATTGAACGACACGAATATTTCGGACGACGATTACGCGCACGCGCGAAAAGTTTGGGAATCTTTCGAGCTGAAATCGCTGGGAGAATATAGCGACCTATATATGCGGACCGATATTCTTCTTCTTGCTGACGTCATGGAAAATTTCCGTGCGTCATCCCTCAAGACCTATGGCCTCGATCCTGCATGGTATTACACCATGCCCGGCTATACTTGGGATTGCATGCTCAAGTATACTGGGTGTAAGCTGCAAATCATCAAAGACATCGACATGGTGATGTTTGTGGAGCAGGCGATAAGAGGAGGAGTATCGGTTTGTTGCAATAGGTATAGCGAAGCAAACAATAAATATCAGGAAAATTACGATCCAAAAAAGCCGTCAAAGTACCTTCTTTATCTCGATGTAAATAACCTTTATGGAAAAGCAATGAGTGAACCCCTCCCTTATGGGGGCTTTACATGGGTAGAAAATGTTGACATTGATGTAACCCAAATTCCTGACAACAGTCCAGAAGGCTATATTCTCCAAGTTGATTTGGAGTATCCTGAGGGGTTGCATGACCTACACAAGGACCTACCATTTTGTCCCGAACACCGCACACCACCAAATTCAAAATTATTCAAATTAATGACCACGCTGTACGATAAAAAGTCATATACTTAACATTACAGAAATTTGAAGCAGGCATCAGAACACGGTCTGAAATTGACCAAGATTCATAAAGTATTAAAGTTCAAACAATCCACATGGCTAAAGCCCTACATCGAGTTGAATACTCGATTGAGGACTCTAGCCACAAACGATTTTGAGAAAGATTTAAGGAAATTTGCCAATAATGCGGTGTTTGGGAAGACGATGGAGAATATTCGTAATCATAGAACAGTAAAGTTAGTCAGAATGTATGAAGGCCGCTATGGCATTAAAAATTTAATTTCAAGTCCTCGGTTTCAACAGCGAACGGTTTTCGATGCCAATTTGGTGGCAGTGGAGTTGAAAAAAGCAGAGCTGATTTTCAACAAGCCCCTATACATTGGTATGGCTATTCTTGATTTATCGAAAATCGTCATGTATGATTTCCACTACAATTTCATGTTACCAAAGCTTGGAGCTGACGTAAAACTCATGTATACCGATACGGACAGCTTCATCTACGAAATTGTATGTGACGATGTGTATAGTGAGGTGATTGATGCAAATATCGAGAGATTTGACACGTCTGACTATGCTCCAGACAATATTCATGGTATACCTCGAGTAAATAAAAAAGTCTTGAGCCTATTAAAGGATGAGGCAAACGGTAAGATTATTACACATTTTGCTGGACTACGGTCCAAGATGTACAGTTATAAATTGGATATAACGGATGGGGATATTGAAAAAGAGAGAAAGCGATTGGAAAGAAACGGATTCAGTAAAGAACGACTAGACAGGGAATTGGAAAATTTTGGTATAACTAAAAAATCCAAGGGTGTCAAGAAATGCGTCGTCAAAAATAAGTTGACTTTTGATGACTATGTGGATTATCTGACGGCTTGAAAAGAAAAGACCGTAGCCCAGCAAACGATTCGTTCCTACGTTCACGATGTTTTTTCCATCGAACAAACAAGAATTGATCTGAGTCCCAAAGATGATAAGAGGAAACTGATTCACGATTCGTTTGACACACTTCCGTGGGGTCACTACAGTTTGACGAATTGATTTTCTCCTTAGTATTTTTGCATCAAATTTTTAAACCAACGCTGTGTTGTATTGATGACTTATTTTTCCATGAAAAAAAAATGTAACTTCTTTTATTCATTCAATAATTTATGTTGTATATATGTATATTTTCAATTATTTCAGTATTATCTAATTATTCCTAATATTCATATTTTATTGTATAAACATTTTTTTAATTTTTATTATCCCCTTCTACATTTATACTATTATACACTTTTACAATTTAAAATATAGAAACAATTATTAGACTTTTCTGTGTTTTTTTTTTCACACCCTTGTCTGGATGATGTGTATGAGAAAGAGAGAGAGACGAAAAAAGGAGAGAGAGAAAGGGAGAGAGAGAGAGAGAGGGAAAGAGATGTAATTAGATGTGGGTTGAAAGTATGGATGTGAAAAACAGTTGTCATGTCTTCTGACGAATACAGACGTGCACTAGAAGAATTTGGGTTGAAAGTTAGAAAGCTCAGTGCAGACATCCAATTGTATGAGCAGAAAGTTTGTTTGTTCAAAGATTTCGAGCAATTGAGTGTTTGGGACAAGGTGTTCACAGAACCGAGACGTTCAGTTGCAACGTTTCCTACATCGAGAAGAATCCAACCAACACAGCTAGATGGCGATACTGAAAGCAAGCTTCATTCTATTGACAGCTCTGAGCAACAACTTCTTCTACACAAACATACCGTACAATACGAGGAATGCAGCCGTATGTTTTGATGTGAATCGTACACAACAGTGTGATTGGAAGCTGATGCGTAGAATGTATGTCAATGATAACAAACTACCTGTATATTCAATCGACATGCTTCGAGTCAATGGGACCACCATCGACTACAAATTGAAATTATCGTTTTCTGATGGCAGTGACGGCGAAATGGGAGACTGGCAGACATTTACATTGAAGAAATCACCCGCAAAATTAGATGATGATCAAGATACTGTCAATATCATTGCAATTTTGACACTTTGTTGTACACTAATATGTTCACTCATTTTAATCTCACATGTTATTTCCATTATACTGAGAAATAAGGGATGTGATGAATAAAAACTCTGAAATTACGATATATAGTTTTTTATTTTGGCAATAAATTACATAACCAATTATATAAAGAATCGACATTGTGGAGACTGCACTGGAACCTTCCTCCATGGAAATGATTCATGCAGGGTGGAATGGATTGTAGGAACGTTATTGGCTGCCACCAAGAATTGTCAAAATCTTCCAAATTAACAATGTGATTGGTCATCTCCAACTCTGTACATTTTCGCTGCAAAAACTGAATCTTTTGATGGCCTCTTACGTAGATGATGTTTGTCTGCTGCAGGTTATCTCGTAGTATTTGATCCAACTCATTCAAATCCACATAACCACTGGAATATTTTAAACCATGAACGTAACGCTCCACATGATTTGCCATCTTTTTATCTTCTCTGCTCAAACTCGAAAATTCTACAGATGGCTTGAATAGAAAATGACTCGTCTTTTCGCCAATGCGAATGGTCATTTCCTTTGGAATGAATTCACCATCAACCATGAACCCTTGAATGTCAACCAGTGCGATCTCCATGACTCTTCGAAGCAAACTGACGTCTGACTGATGCAGCAACACCTAACTAGGCAATATTTCGAACAATTTCGCTGAGTGGGAGATGTTCCATGATTTGATCGTGAATGATGATGCAATAGGCTTTGGTGTCGGGAGGGAAGCCTGTAGTCGCTTCAATGTCCAACTTTATGTCAACTGTAGACGACTTCATGCCTAGATGGCGCCTCGAGCAATCGATAACAAACATTGGTCGGGATTTGAATTCGGCAAAGTTTACTAGAGAGCGCTTTTCTTGACAGTTATGGTAGCTCTTGTTGAACTCTGTATAGTTGAAGTGGGCGTCGGCATATTGGTCTCGGGAAAAGTCCAATAGCATTCGTTCTTGCGGATAATAGTCGCTATTCAGAACAAATCGTATGGATTTGATGTTGGCATTATCGAACAAGGTGACGTCTTAATGCAAATTATCGGCTTTTTCCGTTTGGAAAAATACTATAGCATATCTTGGACTGTCCAATGCAGAACATGTCTTTACGGACCAGATTTCTATGGTAGATCCTTGTGTGAGTGCTGTTAGCTCGTGCAATTCCCATCGGCGAAACGGTATCATCATAGGCTCATCTGCTTTGATACGTGTCAACAACTGCAACTTTATGTCATCGTTGGGTGTGAGATGTGGCACTTTCAAATTGATGCTTTCTATCGTTATTTTAGCAATACTCTGAGTCTGAGGAGATCCTTGCAAAGCAGTATTCGCTCTCTCGACAACCTTCACACTATTGGCATCATTGCGAGCTCTCACTAAACGGATTGACTGCTTGCCCCACGTTGCCACTTGATGATCATTGAAGATGGAAAACAAATTTTTCAGTGGAAATTTTCATGCTAAACGTACCATCGGTGTTGAGGATCGGAGCATTGGGATAGTTCCAGCCTGCTATTGCTAGATGACGTGAGTCTTCAGGCGTATAACACAAGTATCCTCGCATAGTACTCGTTATTCCAGTATATCTGACAGTGTCCAATTCTTCATTACATAATTCATAGGTGCAGGAATCAAAGAGATAAGCTCCAGCATTGTGGGTTAATGTACCAGTACCACCACCGGTCACCTTCAATTTACCCTTGATGGTAATGATGCCTTCAAACATGGCCAACCACGAATCTGCTTGATTAACCGTTATATCGATGACATCATTGTTCTCGAATGATTTCACATATGGATAATAGGTACGCCATTCCACTTTAGTGATGCTTTCGTCGAGTCTGGGTTTGCGGAAAACGTCGAACACGGGTGCTAACAACATTGTAGTCTTTGAGTGATTTCAGAAACAGGACACTGGATAATGTCAATGTTTTTCTGTTGCTGCTCTTCGAAGACACGACTGCTTTGGTGTACGGTGTCGAGAGAACTGGTGCCGATGATGTTGCTGATGATGGTATATTATCTGATTTATAGGAGTAATCAAACACTAGTACCATCTTGCGAGTTTCTTCAATTCCAATCTTATGATGATTTCTTCACCTCTAAAATTCACCTGCCTGAAATCTTGGTCTAGAATCTGGAGTGTAATGTTGGGCAATTTCCGCCTGCTGACTATAGGTAGATAGATTAGATTTCTGGGGGTCTCTTCTATGGCGTAACCAGGATCGACTGCAACTGCAAACTCGTAGATCGTATGTGATGGTCTGTCGTTGTAGAGAGCTCCAGCAGTAACGTTGCTATCAATGTGAATGGTTCTCACTTTGGTTATGCTGACCGGCAAATCGGAAGTGTGGACTTGTTGTGCGTTCAACAATCTATTTGAAAACCCCAAGACTTGAGCTATGCTATCCTTCGGGCGAAAATCAATGGCAAACTGTTTGCTCGAAATCTCACACTTTAGTGTATTATTGTTGGGCTTCAACGAGAATATATCATCAACGTCCTTTGCACTTGAGATGCCCAATTCTTTGCGTATGAAAGTCTCAATGTCCACAATGTCGTATGAACCTTCGGGAATATCGATGATCTTTCCCGCCTTGGTCTTATCTTGCAGATAAAACTTTGATCCTTTGTCGATATTTGGTATACTGTTGTATGAATGGAATCCCAACAATGCTAGTCCGTAATCAGAGTATGGATCGAGTTGAAGCGGTGTCAAAAAGTCTATGGAGAGCGTAGATGTACGACCTTTCAACGTCACAATCAGAGACATGACTGATGCACAATGACCGAGTTACTTGGTCTCATTAAAAAGGAATTCTAAACATAGACGTCCACAAATACTTTGATTGAAATTTTGGTATTGATTGTTATTGTACAAGATTTTCGTGCTGGAACCCAAATATTTCGCCAATTCTCTGGGCGGTTTCAGATTACCATAACTATCGGAATATAAGGCTTTTTTATCATTTTTTATGTAAGCCACCCAATGAGTGCCCGCATGATTGGAGGTATCCAAATTCAATACAGCACACTCGCGATGCCATGGACCGGTGGAAGGTAGAGTGTCCCGCATAAAAACACCTCGAAAATACGGTATTTTCAGCTGTTTGGCATACTTTATCACATCTTTATCGTACATTGATTTATTGAGTAGCTTGTCCAGAAGTTTTTTGAGTTTTTTGATTGTTTCTTCAAGTACAGTCCGAATCCTCTCGATGTTTTGCGTAGAAATAGGCCGGAACCCTGCTTGCTGATAGCCTCCATTGCTTTATTATGTCTTTGATCTTCTTCGAGCTTTTTCTTTGCATTTTTCGCATCAATGACTGTCTTTGCGACTGCTCCGGCTCCTCCAGCTAGAGATCCTAGGGCCCCCAAGGCGGCAAAGATTGGTATCAATGGTAGTATACCGCCACTGTGTGGAAGAGGTATGATTCTTGGTACTCTGATTCTTTTTTTACCGCCAGCCCTCTTGACTGCCATTCTGGCTGCATGGAGTGCTTTCAATGCAGATTCATTCAGACCACTTCCTGATGTTGTACTACCACCACCACCACCACCACCATCTGACTTTGATAGTACATTTTTTATGAATTTGATAATGTTGGATAGGAATTGCTGTGATACAAGACCCATGCCAAGTTTTCGTTTGACCTTCATTCCGGTGGTGACAAGCCAAGCAGCAGCCTTCTCTTTGAATTTAGCGTTCTTCGACTTGACTCTCTTCCACGCTCTATTTTCCAATATTCAATCAGCTTTGTGCCTGTCTTCTATTGAGGAATTTTGTGAATAGGCGATATCGTGTTCTCGACACGCGTCGTCCAACGGATTGATACCGGTGTCTCCTCTTGCAAGTCTTTTATCGAGTTTGGTACCTGGACCACAAAATCTGTAGCCTGGAATGTGTAATTCGATGGGAAGTTTATCGATCAGAGAATTGAGCACACCCTCTCCGTGGTAGAGCAACATGAAGACTGATGTGTAGGAAGTTCGACAACTCTGCATATACCTAATGAAATGAAAAATATATCATCACATGATGAACAAGAACGGATGTTACCCATTGTGAATTTGGATGAAATTTTGTCAACCAAACCACCAGTGAATAGTAAACATGGGAAACTGCTTCCCCATTCGTTCAGAGCAATCTTCTGCGGACCAAGCGGATGTGGAAAGACCGATGCGATGTTTTCCTTGCTGTTCAATCCAAATGGCGCGAAATTCAAGAACGTTTACGTGTATTCAAAGTCGTTGTACCAACCGAAATATCAATTGCTGCAACATGTGTTGGATTCAGTGAAAGGTGTTGGGTATTTTCCCTTCAAAGAAAATGATGATGTCATTAGTCCATCAGAAGCAAAAAATCATTCGATATCCATTTTTGATGATGTATCATGCGACAAGCAGCAAAAAATTCGGGAATATTTTTCAATGTGTAGACACAAGGATATTGACGTAGCATACCTATGCCAGACTTTTTCTAAGATACCGAAGCAGCTGGTGCGAGACAACAGTAACCTGTTGGTGTTATTTCGACAGGATGAAATGAATTTGAAGCATGTGTTCGACGAGCATGTCTCACCAAACATGTCATTCGATCAATTTAAAGCATTGTGCTCAGAGTGTTGGAATTCCAACCAATATGGTGCGATGGTGATTGCAAAAACTTTCGATATGAATACTGGCAGATATAGAAATGGTTTCGATAAGTTCATAAGACTGTGATCTTTGGACCATTCATCAAGATGACGTCAACCAAGATGCATGATGATGTGGCTGATGCGCTGCGCAAGAAAAAAATCAACGAACTATCGAAATCAATGAGAAGAAAATATTTTGCACTAAAATTGGGCAAGTCTGAGGATGATGATGCGTTACAGAAAATATTCCAACCACTGACATCACCTTTGAAACAAATTGCCTCCGCGTCCAAGGTCATAGAAGAAAAACTCGATGGAACACTTTCAAACATCAAGCGAAGCAGAGCAAAGTCGTTGGGGTTGAAGAAGGAGAAGAAGAAGGAGAAGAAGAAGGAGGAAGAGGATGGGGAGGTGGAGAGGGAGCAATCGGATTTGAATCAAACTAATTTCATACCTATGATGGATGTGGCTGATAATGCTGGGCATACTGAAGATGATGATGAGGATGGTTATGACGATGCTGATGATGAACTCTTTGCAGATAGTGAAAATATCTCACCGGCTGCAATACATGATTACGTTGCTCAGTATCCTGCGATGGCGCAAAAATATCTGACTGAATACTGGACAAATGATGAAAATATCGATACGGTTTATGGTCCCAAATATGATCCATCAACATCGAAATGGTCCCTCAACGGAAAAGAAATGAATTTCCATCGAAGAACTGGAGATATACTTTTTGATGGCTTCCGGTTCCGTGGCACCCCAGGCCTCTATCAATTACTCTTCTATAATGATTCATCCTTTGCCAAAGATGATACGAACTCATACAAGCAAATACTCTTGCTCACCAAAGCTCATCTGAATTCTGCAGGACGTATGAAGTCCTCCTCTAGACTCAAATACGTAGAAATTATTCGTCCAATGTTCAGATCCAATTCCAGTAGTCGTGGTTTGAAGTTGACATACAACACAGCACCTATCGAATACATGTATTGGGATGATCCAAACGAATTGGTAGATAGATTGAAGTTGCTCATTGCATCACAGCAAGCCGAAAATACATCAAACGATAACGAGATTGTTGCCATCTTGAACGAATTAGAAGAGGCAGGCATAATAAAACATGTGTGACGATTCAGTGACATTTCCGTGTTCCGTGATACTTCCGTGACACTTCCTTGACACTCCCGTGACAGTTCCGTGACACTTCCTTGACACTTTCGCGACAGTTCCGTGACACTTCCTTGACAGTTCCGTGACACTTCCTTGACAGTTCCGTGACACGTCCATGGCATGTCTATGAGTGACGGGGCTAATTGGCGAGGCAAAGTGCCGACCATTATCGATAACGTACAATACTTTAGTCATTAGCATAATGAGTCCCGACAAATTTGGACGTGGTTCGTTTCCACGCTCAGCTCAGATGGTGACAGTCAGATCTGGATTTTCACATACTCCAACCGGTGATATTGATGTTGGTCATTTGAAGATGTGTAACGTAAAACTGCCAACAGATGCCGCTGATGTTGCAAACAAACAATATGTGGATGAAGTTATATCGCAAATGAAGTTAGATTTCAAGATTGCTTTCGATAATTACGGTGAAAAAATCCGAAATTACCTTGCTGGCTTCAGCAACGAAATAATCGAAGAAAGGAAGAGAGTGGATGTACATGATCTGAAACTGGCAACGTACAATACAAACTTTGTTCAGTTGTCTGGCATAGTGCACAAGATCAACATACATGTGGAGCAGCTTCGCAACAACTCTCTACCGAAACTCGAAAGCGACATCGACTTGAATGTGAAAAATATTCTAGAACTTGTCGATAAGATTGACAACACTGTGAAGAGTTTGCACGATTTGAAGGCTGAGCACCAACACAGCCGTGATAAAGAACGCCAGCTTGCTGATGTCATTGATCAAATGAAAAAAGATCTGGCCAAGATTGCCATCACTCCAAAATCTACGACAGCACCACCGCCACCAAATAGGGAGCCTCCTGTGTGAAACCCATCATATAAACTCCTGATCCAACGAAGTCAATATGTCACATTCTAAAGAAAAAATCCAACTCGTCAATGAATTACATTGACCTGCTAGGAAAAAATTTCCAAGGCGCCGCATTATCATCAAAGGTTTGGATGACTTATGGCAAATGGACCTAGCCGAAATGCGACCTTATGCCTCTGTTAATGAGGATCACAAGCTGATAATGGTCGTAATTGATTGTTT